TGATCCATATCACCACTGACAAGAAAGTAAGTGATCACCAGCAGATGTATTTGGAAGAAATCCTGGGTGAAGGTTGACACCTTTGGCTTTTCACCAAGGACAAGACCGTCTCCAATATTTAGGATTTCCTTTGCGACGAAACAGCAGTGTTTGACCAGAAGATGGCGATCTTTTAAAACAAATTTAGGTGGTTGCCTAGCATGGGGACCTGGGATATAGTGAATCATAGTTGATAAAGATTTCCTGGTGCAGAGAAGGGCTGTGGAGACAGAGGAACAGCGAAAGACTGATGCAGTGAACTATGGTCAATAGGCAAATGAGACTTAACATTCATTACTTATTGATATTTGTTGTGATTTACCCTCTATCCATGCCATCTCTTTTTCCCCTTCCTCTGTTTTATGCAGGATCCTTACTGATTTGCCGTGTACACTGATGTTTATGAAGAACTGAGGCCATATTCTAGTAACCTCCCTTTAAGTCTCACTTTCCCTGTGTCCATAGTATCCTATGTTCTTCTGTAATAGCATCAACCAGAGGCCCAATTAATATACTGCTTGGTATCTACAATCAACTGTGCTCTATGAGGTGGGCTCTGTTTTGTTCACTGCTGAATCACAGCATGGTATGCCTTCCTAGCACATAGTAAGTGCTCAATAAGTATATGTTGAATGATTGTAAGAAATTCAAGGTTGTAACTGACTTGAATTTAAAAAGTGCTTTTTGTCTGCTTCCATTCTAAAAGGCCCATGGATGATAGCTGATTCTTACTGAGTGATTGCTGTATTAAACCTTAGCTACATTATCTCACTTTTCCCATGAACTCTATAAGGTTATTCTGAGACAGAGTAGCTAGCTATGGGTATATAAATAGTAAATGACACAAAGTTCAAGGGTACCCTTTTCACTTTGGTGGTATCAACCCACCAAGATTCTCATTAGTGTGCCACTCTGTGGACCTTAAAGCACCTCCTACATTCTCCTCCTCTTTCCTTGTTCTCACTTTACCCTCCCCAATTGACAGAAAATGCCCACACCATTACGCCCCATCCCATTTCAGTCAAGGACCTCAGTGGTTCATGGAAAATATCTGAAGTCTATTAATAGGAAAGCCAGGTTCTTAATGAGGTGATTATAAAGAAATGTAAATAAATAATAGCCTTCAATCAATTGATTACAAGTACATTAAGTGAGGTCTTGCTAGAAGATTCCATGGCCCATCTTGAAGCAATGGTAAGGTTTTTACATGAGGCCTCCAAAATCTACCTTCAGAAACCTGACTCTAGTCCTTACCAGCTGTCACTTTAAGACCTTCCTTCACCTTTGAACTCTGAAGAGAATGGCCTGCTCAAAGAGGGGAACAAAGTCCTGAGTTCTGATCGAAGAAAGACAACTGTAGTTATTAACTAGTATCTTCCTTTGTTTTTGTCCTCTTCTACAATTTCTCAGTTTTTGGACATATGACATGTCTTGTATTTTAAAGGCCACTTTGGTGGAAAGCAGAATATAGTTTTAAAAAGTTAACCCAATGTTGATGTCCTGCTTACTAGAATTATATCATAGTCAGCACAGATGAAATGTTTACAAAAGAGTGGTGATTTGTATCTCATTTTGAGGATTTTTTTTCTCTAAAAAAGTCTAGCACTGCCCTCATTAATCATGACATTGATATAGCAGGAGATATGGACAGGGGAAGGGATATTTCTTGAGGGCTTGCCTAAGAGGATTCCCCCCAATTTTTTGTTTTCCTGTCTGTGCCCTTCCAAACCAGGCTTCTCTTACTCTAAGTACTTTCATAAAATGGTTGCTGGAGATACTCATTTCTTGGAAAATCAAAGGCATCTGAAAATAATTTGTCATTCAAGTGATTCAAAACCCAACTTTATATTTATCAGGTACTTGAGGACAATTTGGATATGCAAGATAAGCCTTCAAATGTGTTTTGATTGGTCAGCAATCATTTAAAAGGATTTAAATACAAATGCTCTCCAAAGGGCAAATGCTTCCTGGGTCAGCCACAGTCCTCACCATTCCCTAATGTTCCCTGTCTATTTCTGTTCATTTTTAGTTGTCTGACTCAAGACATTGGATTTTGGACTGTTTTTTGTAAATGTATATTTTACCCTTTGATCTTTCTGTTAGTAATCAGTAGGTAAGGCTGCTTTATTGAGATAAAAATGGAATCATTTCCAGGGTTCCTATAATCCTGATATTTTTCTTTCATATAAAGAACAGTGCATCCAGGTGTGGTGGCATGTGCCTGTATCCCCAGCTACTCAAGAAGCCGAAGTGGGAGGATTAATTGCATACAGGAATTCGAGACCAGCCTGGACAACAGAGTCCTGTTTCCAGAAAATCCAATCTAAGAAAACGAGAGAACCAAGATATGCAAAGGCTGAATATCTTGCCCCTGCCATACAAACAGGAAAAAATAGAAATAGTACAAGCAACAAAATGCATAAATCACATTAATGCTGCCATGAAAAGAATCCTTAGAAGTGACGTAGGGCCAGACACAGTGGCACATGCTTGTAATCCCAGAGACTCGGGAGGCTGAGGCAGGAGGATTACAAGGTCAAGGCCAGACTAGGCAACTCAGCAAGACCTTGCTACAAAATAAAAATAAAAAGGGCTGTATATGTAGCTCGGTGGTAAAGCACCACCTGTTTAAATAAGACAAAAAGAAACCACTTAAGCAACTTACCCTTTCTCAAATGGAGAAATTGAGGCACAGAACCAAAGTGATTTGCTCGAGGTATCATAAGCTATTAGGTGAGAATCCTTGCTTTAAAATCTATACCTGTGTTCCAGTTGGGGAGACTACAGTATTCCAGACAACCTCAATATCACATAAGAGTCAAACCCAATGTTGAAAGTTACAGTCTCACATACCAAGTAGTTCTTTTTTAACTCTACTTTCAGTTAATTTTTTTAAAACAATTGTTCTTTTTAGGTATTTAAGTCTATCCTCCATGGACAACACCTCATCGTGACCTCCTGCTGCAAGAGGCCACCAAACCTTCTAAACAGCTCTTATCAACCAAACACAGGAGTCAGGTCTGAATTGGGGGGTAGTGCACTTTATTCACAAAAAACACAGTACCATACAGGCAAAATCTTACTTCATTGGCAAAACACAGACATATGCATACTCCCAAATGTAGCACTGGGGCAAACTTTAGACACAGAACATTATACACCAAGTTCACAATCAAACATGACATAGTTCACAATCCCTCAATATTTTTTTCTTCAGTGGAGTATGACACCTTATTTAACAGTTAACCATGACAAACAGATGAACTTCTTAAATCTAATTCTCGACCTAACTATGGAGTGAGGCCGACTCAGCCTTCAGAACTGTGTAGGGGATGCCTTAATGGAGCCAAGCTCTTGATTTATGGTATCTTCATGCTGGATGAGCTCATATATAGTAGGTGTTCTCAGCTCCTGTTTCAAATTTAGGCACATCCGGACTGGCATTCATTTTGATACCCAATCTGTAGTTCAACAGGGTTGATGTGATTAGGATAAATTAATTGGTTTTCTAAACCATGGGAGAAGAGGGTAAACTTCACACTCAGGAGGTCTTCGACATGCAAGATTTCAATATGTTAACAATCTGATTACTGTGAAAACTGTTACTGGTTCAGACATTTAAATCAACATTTCCCAAGGTGTGTCAGGACTGAGTTAATCAGTAAGTGAATAGAAACAACTGCAAGAGATTAGGGATGTGATTTCTCACTGCTATTTGATATAATATGCAGCATTTCCTTATGAACTGCAATATATCCAAGACATCAATGAAACTTTTAAGTTAGCAAAAAAAAATGCTTTTGAATTATAAAATAAAGAGTGGCAGAAAAATTTAGCTCTTTGCTCTTAGGATAGGCAAAGCTTTGGAAGACCTTAAGTCCTCATATCGGGATCCAGAAATGTAAGTTTGCTTTTAAGATAAGGTTAATGATGTAATAAACTCGAGTTGGATGAGTTCTTCAGGTATTCTTTAATTTTTCTTAAATAAAAATATATATTTTAACAAGAAGTATTTTATGGTTGAAATGTTTGGGAGGGGTTTCTAAAAACATGACAAGTCTTTCAAATGAGAAAGATAAGAGGTGGGCACTGTTCTGAGCCCACATTGCTCCTAAGATAGAGAACTCAGTCTTCATATGTAAAAATCACTCAATTTCATGTTTGTTATAAAACTTAATTAAAGCAAGGGAGGTTATCTTATAAAGCCCTTTCTGTATTTGACAGTCTCTATAAATAATAATCAGGGATTTTTTCATGTATATTCCAGTACTAGATAGAAATTGACATGCTAATATTTAACCATGTTTAAGACATGTAAGTGAAGGGATCTGTCTAATTCTATGGCCATAAAAACAAAAGGAAAATATATATGACTCTAGGGGTCTTCAGGTAGTAAAGAACCACATGAAATAATACTGCTTTCCTAAAACTGGTATAGTATGTGATCACTAATAGGGATCAACTGATGTCTAACCATGTTCCAAAGGGAAAAGAAGGTGCCCTTTGTAGTTGGTTTCACATGAAGCTAGTCAGGGAGGCCTCTTGCTGTGATTTTATTCTGCTCATCAAGTTAAACATTTGAACTCGGTAAACACTCTCCTCTGTAAGATGTAAAAGAGAAAAATGTACAAAAAAACCTAGCACTGAGGCTAGATGTCTAGAAAATTCACAGAAATTAGAAGTGGCCAGGAGATTCCTGGGGCATCAGACTGCAAGATGTCCCCATCCTGGTCTGAAGGAACCACATATCCCTGCCCCCACCGGCTTATCTACTTCCTTATGTAAAGTGGGAGCCAGTCACCCCCGAAGCTGTGAGGCTATGGGCTCTGTACCAACACTTCACCAGTGCCTAAGGACAGGCTAAGTCTTAACCTACTCCACTTTATTTCTGAAATCAGGTATTTTTTGTTAAAGGTAAGAAGAATGGGACACAAAAATTCTCATAAGCACATTACATTAACTTTTTGAAATTAAGAGAGCAATCACAAGGTTTTATTGTATCCATCAATACAAATTGGTCTACATAGACAAGATGAAGCTTGATCTTACTGAAATTAATTAGGTAATTCTTTGGGTTGTTCTTACTTTAATGCAGACAGACTAAACTGAGGAGGGTTAAATCAAGTGCACTTAAATGGCCTAATGACACAGCCTTTAGTTCTTCCACATTTTCCTTTTGATGGTGATGGTGATGGTACTGAGAAGAAGGATACAGAAGGCCAGAAGTTGGAACTTCATGACCGTGGCAGCAGCTTGGATTTGTACAACACAATCCAGAGGGCAGTTACTGAGGTGGAAATCCCGATGAGCTTCAGCAGGCCAGATATGGAAGGCAGGTTTCTCTCTAGGAAGGTGGTGGTGATTTCAACTGATGGAACATCCTAGATAATAAACACAAATCATTAGTAGAAAACTCTTCCACTCATAAAGAGAAAAAATATCTGTAATATCATGCATGGGTATACCTGTGAGTTTTATGACTAGTCTATGGATATGGACTAGCCAAACTTACCTTAGATTCAGGTTCTTGTGCCCATATATCTTTCTTAGCCACCTTCCCCAGAGCATTCAAGACCTGAAAGAAAGTGACCATGGTATTATGAAATGAGGTTGTATAGGTGTGTCAGATTCAAAGTCCTATTTATAGGCTATTAGATAAGCCCTATAAGTGAGGGGCACAGAAATGAATATTTTCTATTAGCAACCCACTTGAATCAAAGTGTGAAATATGATATATCAAGAACTATGTAATGTTTTGAACAACCAACAATAAAAATTAAAAAAAAAGAACTAGACAAATGAATGGCCAAAGGAAATGGGACGGACACACACACACACACACACACACACACACACACACACCATGGAATATTATTCAGTTTTAAAGAAAAATGAAATCCTGCCCTATGTGACAATATAAATGAGCTTAAAGGACATTTTGCTAAAGGATATAATCTAGGCACAGAAAAACAAACATGTTCTCACTCACATGCAGAAGCTGAAAAAGTTTATCTTAGAGAATATGTAACAACAAATCCCACTATTATGTATAATTATAGTACACCAATAAAAATAAAGAAGTAGAGAGTGATACAGAGGCCACCAGAGGCTGAGAAGGGTTGAGGATAGAAGGGATAGTGAGAGAATGGATAGTGGATACCAAAATACAGTACAACAGGAGGACTAAATTCTAGTGTTTTATAGCACAGTTCAGTGAACATAATGATTTGCTATACATTCCAAAATAGCTAGATGAAAGGATTCTGAATGTTCCAAAGAAATGATGTCTGATGTGAAGGAAATGCTAATAACTCGAATTTGATCACTGCACACTGTATGCACACATAATATCTTACTACCCCAAAATATGTATAATTATGATGTCAGTGAAAAAAATGGGCAAATATATAGTTTCATGAAAACATCATTAATCCATCTAAAAATTTTTAAAAGAAGAACCAGGAAGACCAGATGCCAAAAATGCTGCTGAGACTCAGGAGGGAACACTTCAGCTTCCTCCCTTACCTCTCTAGCTGCACGTTCTCCGGCCTCAACAGCTCCTTCCATGTAGCCACTCCAGTGTGTAGCGGTTTCTGTGCCAGCAAAGTAAATCCTGCCCACTGGCTGGCGAATCACCCTATGAGGAAACAAAGAGGCCACACAAAGTTACCTGGGATACTACTGAGGGGAAATGAGCCAATGACTGCTCTCATTTACTTTGCAGAAGACAGGGAAACTCAAATTATTTACAAAACACAGCCCAAGGTAAAAGGTTCCTTAAAGGCTACTCCTTATTTCCTAGGCCTGTACATAAGGAGGCTGTCAGATCACCAATCTGTGAAGATGATGTTGACCTTTTTCAAGCTGGCCAGAATTGGAATGTGAGAACATGCATTCAGTCCACAATCGGATTTTTTTGGCTGTGTGTCTCCTATTTTGTAGTTCATTCTGCTTCCCACACTGTTTTTCCAAGGGGGAACATTCTTTTTGAGATCACACATGGCCAAAGTCCAGTCATGCAGGTAGTCCCAGTGTATTAGGAGGGACTGTTGCACCAAGTGGGAAGATAGAAATGGACTGTAAATTGACTAATTCTGATAGAGGAGAGACATGAGGGATTACATACATGAGTTTGTTTCTTTAAATTACAACTTCTGTAAAGTTTCTCTGGACTTTCCTAGGGAATAGCTGAAGGCAGGAAATGGCCCTCCTCTTATAAAGAGGTCCTGCCAATGAAAACCAAGGAAGGGCTAGACCAAATAGGTAACTGTCCCATCCAGCCTTCTCAGGGTTGAATCCTGCCATTCATGCAGCCACTTTCATAAACGCTCTGAAGCTGCACACCCCACCCCACCCCACCCCACCCCAAAGACTTTCATTTCAACCCACTGGCACTTTTTTTTCAATTCAGGAACCCTGTGTTTCATCTCTTCCTGACCCTAGTCCCATCTTCTAGACTTCTACATCACAACAGAACTAATCCAATTTATAAACTCTGCTATCACAAACAAAGGCTGTTTGAACAGTTAACAAACAAGACAGGGCTGGGGGTGCAGTTCAGTGGTAGAGCACTTGCCCAGCATGTGTGAGGCCCTGGGTTTGATCCTTAGCACCACAAAAGGAAAAAGGCAAACAAACAAGCTCCCAAAAGGAAATGGTTAACAAATGCTTATTTCTTGTGGACAAACATGACCTAGTGTTAACTTTCTGGCTTTTTTGTCTGGAAACCAGATGAAGGTATAATGCTACAGATGTGACCAGGGAATACTGCTTATGCTAAAAATGTTACCTTACCCATTCCCACATTGGTAAACTGCATTCAGGCTGAAAGGATTGGGAATGAACTGTAAATACCTGGAGGGAGACTGTCACTGTGGGCTTCCTTGAGTGTAGTGTCTCTTCTAACTGAGCAAGTGACCCTGGGCTCTATGCCTGTGACACATAGTGATAATGGCTTCTATGGATCAAGGGGCTTCTAAGTCAAAGTGGATCCTTGCACCTCCTGCCTCCACCCCAGTGAATCTCATCTCCTCATCACTTGCTATATACAGCAAGGATGTGTGATAGTCCTCTGTTGGCCAGACAGATATATTGGATTAATGCATTGAAAGTCCTTCTGTATAGACTGGTGTCAAGGAGCCTAGGGTGGTAGTGTGAGACTAAATGTTGATCTGAACTCAAGAAGGCCCCTTGAAGGACAGTGCAGTTTGCTTCATTCTCACAAATATTGCTGACTAATCCCAGCTACTCAGAGACTGGAGCAGAAGGATCACAAGTCTGAGGCCAGCCTGTGCAACTTAGGGTGACCCTGTCTCAAAAACAAAACAAAAAAGCCCAAACAGAAATTAAAAAAACAAAAAAACAAGTACTGTTGACACCTGAAGTTCTTCCCTGTGCTTGGCTATTGTCTATTTGCTGATATCCTTGTTTTTCCAGAGACATTCAGAAAGATACAAACTATCTATCTAGGGCATTAGAAATAGGAATGACAGCTATTTCTAGAATTCTCATTGAATACTGCTTCTGTTAAATGTGATACAGGTCTTATAATAACTGGTGTAGTGCTTGGGCAGTACCTTCCATATTGAGTCATGATCCCAGGGGGGAAGTAGGCAGTGTAGCACCCTCCAGAGTACTGCTCCTCACACCAGTTCTTCTCTTCATAATGCACTGGCTGAAGTTGGTAGGGAGAAAATTCCAAAGAGAAAATGAAGCTGAAATGCTATAAGTCACAATGAAGGCTCTTACATGTTTTACTTTATCAAAAATTTCACAGAGAAAAAGACAATAACCCTGTTTTTGTAACTTGCTGAAGAAGAAACAGGATATTATCAAGTAATAGCCTTTTGTGAGGTACCAAGTTGCAAAACATGGACATTATGACTTTTTTCAATCTCTCAACTAGGGAAGACAAAGTATCTCAACATCTGGGAATGAGGGCATCTTCATGCTGATGCTGAAGAATTTAGAGCTAAAACTTTAGGGAAATTCATCAATGATCAGCTTGTGGAAAGATCTGCTTCAATCTCTGGAGTTCAACAACAACAGACTTCACTTCCTTATCTACCCAGGTGTTTCTGCTGCAAAAAAAGTTGTGAGGGAGGAAGTAGAAGACAGTCATAGTATCTAAGAAAGGATTTGGTCAGAATCCCTTCCCAAAGCTGGAAAAATGAATGTTGGAATTCTTGCTAAAAAGGGGAACAATTAAGATGTAAAATGCTCTTAGAGGACATGAGAGAATCTTCTCTGAATTCCATAATACACTATGAAAATGTATCATTTAATTAATTTACAGATAACCCCTCAAAAGTGCCCCCAGCTATCAGTGGGTTCTTCAAAAGTCATTTCCCTCTCCTGATTGCTTTCAGTGGTAGATTAAAAGCACTGAAATTTCTAAATGAGTTGTGAATTGAGTTGCACATGTAAAACTAAATTATTATGACTTTGACCTAGGCAGAAAGTTTACATTCACTGTTCTGTCTTGTATGTATTACTAATGTATTCACCAACAGAAGATGACATATTTGGGGTTTTCTTTCACATCTGGCAGTTGACACTGACTGACATGAGGGCAGGACCTCTGTTCTGAGAACCAATCTCTCCCATCCTTAACATAATTCCTGCCATGCCAGGCTGTCATCACACTTTGATGATAGTTATTCAGCAAACATTTAAACTGCACAAGAGAATTACAGCTTTGAAATTCCATGCACCTGACACCAATTTTAATGGCCTTTTTTTTTTTAACTGCTAAAGTTCATCTTTCAAGTTAAGAATAATTCTTCTTAACTCTCTTCATAAGACTGTCAGGAATCCAGAATCTGCTTTGCTTTACCAATTCCAGTGAGCAGAGCACAGCCTGTTAGGGACTAAACCTTGGGGTTTTCTTACTTGTAATGCTTCCTCAGATCCCAGCACTTTGGCATACAGCTCACAGATTTTCCTTTTCCTATTAAAAAAAAAAAAGGAGCCAAAAAGGTTGTTAAGGAAGTAATAACCGATAGGTACAGAGTAAATACAGTGAGGTCCAGGGCATTCACCAATGAACCAGATTTATTACAGAAAAATGAAACTCAATGGCCTCCTGTTACTATACAAAGCAAACAGTTCAATGAATCTCTGTACTCAGATTAACTTTCTCTGCCTCGATAGTCATTTGAAAGAGTCAATAGAATATTCCTTTTTTTTTTTTTTACATTTCTGCCTCTTTTACTATCTATTACAATATCTGAGATAAAAATGGGTAAAATAAGATTAAATTTAACTTAATCTTAGGGATTAATTCCATATAACTTTTCTGGAATATATAGAATTCTAGAATGATCCTATCTGTAAATATGTAGTTCATATGATAGCAAGTCCTTTAACTCTCCTATTCTTGTTTTGTAAATATCTGAAAACAAATAATACTCATTTAGTATTTTAAGCATAAAGTATGCTATTCTGAGAGAGACTTACAGTCATTTCAGTCTAGTAATCTGTAACTTGGATAGAATGGTCTGTGGACTAGGACACTGTGTTAAAGGGTATCTGGGGGATGGACACAATACACTACATGATGATACCTCAAAAAGTCTTTGGCTGGGCTGGAGTTGTAGCTCAGTGGAACAGTGCTTGCCTAGCATGTGTGAGGTACTGGGTTCGATTCTCAGCATCACATACAAATAAATAACATAAAGGTCCATCAACAACTAAAAAATATTTTTAAATGTTTTTAAAAAGTCTTTGGCTATCCTCATAATTCATGACATAGACGAAAAGTATACAACATGAAATGTATTATGTCTGAAAAATCAGTAGCTATATTTACCTAAAGTTTTCTTAAAAGGAAAAAAAAACATTTTAAACTCACTACTCCTGCTTAAAAAATTTTTAAAAAGGTCTAATTATTAAACTCACCATTTGTAGAAATTAATGGTTCTATTTCAGGATTTGTTTGAATAGGTTCACACTGAACCAATTACATACTATTTATGTTTCCTTTTTTACTTTTGTAAAATAGTTTAAACATGTGAAACTGTCCTTAAAATATTTGTTGAAGACTAACAATCAACTGGAAAATATTCATTAAAAATGGGGCAAAAAGTTTAATTCAAATCTGTAAGATAAGCATAAAATGCATAACTAAAAATAACCAATAAAATCTGACAAGATGAATGGCCAAAAATATTCGGGGGGGGGGGAGGTCAAGAATATTAGTAATAAAAGAAATAGATTTTAAAGACACTATTTTATCTTGCCAATTACATTAGAAAATATTATTAAAACATGCTCCCAATTTCTCTAAATAATCTGGGAAACAATGTCAACTTATAAATTTATATAAAGCCTTCTATACATTTATACAACTCTTAGAACATCCATCTCATAAGTATAGAGGATTAAATTAGGAGGAATAGATGGAATTCTAAATAGGACTTGCTATGCAGTTTTCCCATGGAAGGTTTTAAGGAAGAGACAAATGCCACTCCTGACATGATGTCACACAGCATGGGGTGAATATTTAAATTCCAGGACACATCGAAAATCATAAAGGTAAGAAGTCTCAAGACTACTGTCCACCTGTCTCTCTCAGTCTAATCTGTGCTATTCATTTCAGAGATTAGGAAGCTGAGACTCAGTGAGCTGCTGAGACTTATTCAGCATCATTCAGCTAATTAATGGCAGGGTGAGGCTCTACATTTCTGAGCATCCTGCTCATAGTAGATGCTCAATAAATGTGTGTGGAGAATCAAAGTCCATGCTTAGCCTAGTGTGAGACCCTCTCCTCAACTCTATGAAGAGATGAATGATTCTTATCTACTACCAAAGAGTGTTACAAGCAATGATTCAGATATTTTAAATCAATTAAAAATTAAGGATATTAATAGGCAGTATTCTAAAATGTTTAATGATGCTTAGCTTATTTTTTGGACACATAATAAAATCTTTATTAAAGCAGAGTGAAACCCAAAATTCAATCAACCTCCTTTCAGTTAAATTTTTAACCATGAATGATAAAACCAGTTATAATAGAAATACAAGCCATTTAGTGTGCTTTACATATATTATTAGATGAGCCAAGGACAGGTCACACAAATACATCAGGGAATTATCATTCTCTTCCCATCTTCCCATTAGAATTAAATTTTTATGGGGGGGGATATATGTAAGGCAAGGATATTAAAACAATGCATTTTTTCCTTTTTCAGTGCTGGGGATAAAACCCAGGGCCTTGCACATGCAGGGCACATGCTCTACCACTAGGCTACCACCCCAGGATGGAGCAATCCATTTATTCAATCAATGCATTTATTTGGCTTAGCTCTAAAATCAATAGAATGTATTTTAAATTAAGGCCTAAAGAAGTCACTGTGCAAATCATCTTGTTGAATTTATCCACTGGCTTTTATATCTGGATACTCAATCAACTGAAAAGCTTGTTAAAAATACAAATACTCGGGTTCCTTGAACCTTGCACCTACTGGATCATAATCTTACAGGCCTCAGAAAAATATATCTTCTAAACATCTTTTGGAAGATTTTGAGGCAGTCAGTTCTGGAAGCCACTGTTCTCATCAATGATATATTCAGTAAGGTTTTTGCCTCACAAAAACTTTTGAGAAGTTGAGCCACTGTGTAGAATCAAAACCAAATGCCTACCTCCAGGCTGGTATTTATTTTATTATTAATAAGGAGGGAAAGCAGGAAATCCAAAAGAAAATGTCAAGCTCAGAATGATGTAATGAAAAAGAGTATGTGTTATCTGCTATTCCTGTTGCAAGTTAGCCGCTATGGTTTGAATACGTATATTCTCTAAAATTCATGCATGTTGGAACTTAACTTCCAAGGTGATGGGATTAAGAGGTGGGGCTTTTGGGGATGTGATTAAGTCACGAGGGCTTTGTCTAGGTTATAGTTTTTATAATTTTCCTTTATTCATCTTACAGAAAAACTCTACCTCTCAACCATTATAAATAAATACAAATGTGTAAAATTGAGTTAAAATACACATATGGGCAAAGGGGCCATAGCAAAATACAGAAAGGTTGATTTGTTGGGCTGAGAATATTTGTAAAATATTATGTTTTTCCTGATGAAATTCTACTTTGTTAGTGCAATGAACACAATATAAAGCTTGCCTTTTGTCTATTTTCAGATTGTTATGGTTTGGATGTGAGGTGTTCCCCAAAAGCTCATATGTGAGACAATGCAAGAAGGTTTGGAGGAGAAATGATTGGGTTGTGAGAGCCTTCACCCAATCAGTGAATTAATCCCTGATAGGATTAAATGAGTGGTAAACACAGGCAAGTGGGGTGTGGCCAGAGAAAGTGGCTCATTGGAGGCATGGCTTTGGGGTACATATTTTGTTTCTGGAGAGTAGAGTCTCTTTCTCTACTTTCTGATCATCATGTGAGCTATTTCCCTCTGCCACACTCTTCTGCCATGATGTCCTGCCTCACCTCGAGACCCAAGGAATGAAGCTGTTCTTCTATGGACTAAGACCTCTGAAACCATGAGCCCTCAAATAAACATTTCCTCCTCTTTAATTGTTCTGGTGGAGACCTTTAGTCACAGAAGAAAAAAAAACTGACTAAAACACAGATATAAATGCTTTACCTTATTTCTTTGTGGAGCTTAGCAAGTCGATCAGCTTTCCGGGCAAGGATGAAGCTGGAGAGAGAGAGGGCATACTTGAATATCAGGTTACAGTCTTTATGCATTGTCCCTTCTCAAGTCTTTTATTACTGCTATCTACTCAATATTAATGAACTCTCCCAGACCCTCCTATATTAGTGCAAATACCATGTTATCTTCAGTCTCCCTCTGTGTCCAAACCCAGATAGGCTTGTTATGGGCCAGGCTATATGGGCAATGACCAAACAGACTCCATTTTACCCTGAGACTCCATATCATGTAAGAAATGCTTCTCCCATGAAAAAGCCCCACCTCTGTACCCATAACAGTTGTTTAGCATAGCATGTTTGGAAACACAAAATGGCAATTCTTATACAATGGAAAATTATTCTCTTAAGTTTCCACTTTTTTTTGGCAATGTACCTTGTTAGAGATTGATTGTCTAGACATTAGTAACCATTCTCTAATGTGTACTGAATTAGGGTCATTTTGACCCACCTCCCTTCTGCTTGCTTACTGCTATGCCAACCTGGAAAGTCCTATAGGAAATACCAATGTACCCATTGCATTGTCTCCCTAACTGCCCAATTCATCTTCTATACCTGCTTGCTTGCAGCTACATCAACCCAGATATGGTTTTTGCCTTTAAATATCCTAAAATTCTCAGGTTCAGGGCTGTTCCTTGCAGAGACAGTTACGGGTCCTGTGGGGAATAGTCACCAGCAGCCGACTAAATAAAAACTCTTCAATTTGGACAAAACTGGGACTTGTTGTGTTTTCTAAGTCCCACAACAGGCTGAGCTCCTAAATAAAAGGTCAATTCTTACTCAATATTTTGCTTGTAAAATTTATTACATTATTTTGTATACAGTAGGAAATCAAAGGTTGGACGAATTAATGTTGCACTAAATAATTACATTGGCAATGATTATTGTCTTCTGTCAAATACTTGGTAAAAGCTGGACAAAGAAATGTTAATATGTGTCTGTAGTGGATTCCAGGGTGGTATCCCAGGTTCCCCTTTCAGGACTTTTACTTGGTAACCTTAACTCACAGTGGAAACCTTCACCAACACTTATACTCAGCAGGAGAGAACTGCCTTAATCAAGTTTCTGCCCTTCCTCAATGGCCATCTCTGGGATGGGGTGGGTACCAAGGCTCATCCCCACACCTCATTTCAGAACAACTCTGAAGGGCCATCCCAGCTCCAGAATTTTCCATGAGATTGAGGACATCTTTGTTGAGATAAATCTAGAGCCCAACTTCTCCCTCTGCCTGATTCCAATTCCCTCTCTTCCCCCATAGGTAGTAACTCCTAGGGCACTTCCCAATAAATCTCCGGTACCCAAATTTCTATTTTCAAGTTGACTTCCTAAGAAATGGATCTAAAACAGTCCCCCAATAAAGGAACTCAGTAACACCCAGATATAATCTGTCTGCTTTCCTTTAATTGAACAGATTCTATTATACCAATATTACTGATTTTATATATATATATATATATATATATATATATATATATATATTAAAGAATTGAATGTGACATGAAATTCTTAATCCCAGTATTATTAGAAAGCTTTCAAAAATCCACGTGAAGGCTGTGGATGTAGTTCAGTGGTAGAATGCATGCATAGCATACACAAGGCCCTGTATTTAATCCCAGGAACCACATACATGCACAAATCTAAATGAGCCATAGAGCAATGAAATTATTTCTCCATTTAAAAAAGATTTTATAGGGCTGGGAATGTAACTCAGTGACATAAGGCTTGTCTAGCATGTGAGAGACCCTGGGTTCCATCCTCGGCAGTGCAAAAAAAATCTTTAAAAATTATATTTCTTTGGTTCCAAATCTGCCAAAAAATAGATTAGAGCTAAAAACAGTATTTCTTCCTGTCCCCACCTCCAAGTTAAACTGTTCCTCAATTGGATTGGCAATTCCTTTAGGGTTGTGATTTGTGATCATTCTGGGAAGCAAAGACACAAAGTATGTTAACTCACAGAACAATATTTCTGAAGAAGCTGTGGACTATTTAAGAAATTTAAACTACTGAATTTTATGGGATATAGTCATAACTTTATTTGACTTAACCCTTAAGTTATGACTCACTAGCAAAGATTTTAGTTAAATTTTAGGTTTAAGAAAGAATCAGTAAGGTTGGGCCTATAAAATATTTAAAAGAAAACCACCACGAATATCAAATGAAAGTTTAAATGACTTATCTGAAAGCCCTTTAGTCAACTCATCATATGTTTTTATAATCCCTTTCCCAAAGAGCAGTTAGTGTTGACTATTTCGATCAAATCTCAAGTCATGCATGAAATAATCTCTTATCTAATTATGCACAAATATTCTTCAACTTTCACTGGTACTTTATTGTGGAAATCATGCATGCTCTCTTTGTGTTGAGGACATTTCACAGTCTAAAGTACAAGTTTGTTTACAGTTTTCCAAAAGGTGATAATTATTACAGACACAGTGCTAGGCAATTGTCACCTCTGTCTTTGAGGCTTTCTTGGCCAAGTGCAAAGAGCAAGGTGGAGGCAATATATTTTCAATGCTTTAATTATCAAGAACAAAGTTCTGGGTGGAGTAACTGTCCCGATAAGACAAGGGAGAAGCTGGTCAACAGGCATAAAAGAGAATAGACAATTTATCCTCAACCTTATAAATTCATAGTTGGGACAGACTTATGTAACAAAAGATAGATTAACAAGAGAAAAATAAGCAAGTTTATTAACCCTGAAGTACACATCACATGGATCAAGGTAGTGGTTTGAGTCTAGCTTATATAATTATACCTAATGAAGATCAACAAATTTTAGAGACAAAGGAAAGCTTCTAAAGGGAGCATGCCTACAATGGGAAGATAAATATATGGGAAGACACTAATAAAATAAAGTATACTTGCAGATTTCTCTGGTTCTGTCTCTGAATTGATGAAGGATTGTCTCCATTGAAGGATTTATGTCCTATCTATAGGGGGAGGACAGCGAGACCTTTTGTTTTTGTAAATCTCTACCTTGTTCTTAGGCAAACAGAGGAAAGGCAGAGAGCTCTCTTATATCTTAATTGTCTTCAGCTAATGACCCTTCATATTTGGGGGAGATGTATTCTGGTCTCCCACAGATATAAAGTTTCAGATAGACTGGAGGAATAAGGTCTGAATAGTAGGATAATTGTGATTCAGCAGGCTGAGGCAGGAGAATTGCAAGTTCAAGGCCAACCTTGGCAACTTAGACCCTGTCTCAAAATAAAAAATAAAAAGGGCTAGGAGTATAGTTCAGTGGTAAAGCACCCTTGGTTGAAGCCCCACTATTACTACTACTACTACTGCTGCTGCTGCTACTACTACTACTACTGTACTACTACTACTACTACTACTACTACTACTGTATATTTCAAAACACCTGAAAGAGAGGATTTTAAATGTTCTTACCACACAGAAATGATATGTATGAGGTGATGAATATGCTAATTATTCTTTTTTGATAATCCCATATGTATTGAAATATCACATTATACCCTATATATAGCATTATTTTTTGTTAATAAATAAAACCAATAAATAAATAACAGATTAGAATACTACTTTTTAGGAACTGCTTAAATAACCCCATTAACATCTGGAAGGGTCCTGCCACTCATGTCTCAGTTATTACAGCTGAAGCAAACCCAGTAGGGCATATGTCAGTATATCTAATGCCAAGGGCAAGAAAAATATCAATATTCTTCTATCCATAATTGGATAGGTCTTCAACTGATATTCTCCTGAAACCTGTCTACCAACCTTCTGCTTTCCTCTAGCCTAGCAAAGTGAATGTTAAACTGCCAAATATAACTGTACCCTTTCTTGCTCAATGGGGTTAGGCGATGAAGAGGATATGTTGTTCTTCTGGTCATTATGTTGTAAGTATCTGCCTTTCTCAGGGAATCTGGTGCTATTTTTTATATTTAACAAACAGGGAAGTGATTCCAAAATGTCTTGTTAGCAGCCCAGTAGTGTAGCCTGCCTTCTAAATCCTTCAGGACATGGATCTGCTCCTTTCGACTCTGTAATTTTTCTAAAATGATCTGATATGCCTGAACTCACTTCTCCCCTCAGGCAGGAGGCATGCATTTCCCAGGAGCAAAGTGGGAAACCACTGGATCATGTCTAAAAGTCACTTGATTGCTACTAAAGCTGTGTTCTTTTGTTTTGGTGGGGTAAAATAATGAGTTTTTTTTTTTTTATTAGTATAGTTTTTTGGAGGGCCAAATGGTAGGTAATCAGGAGTCTGTGGTCCTGCTTAGTGTTTCCTTTGTGGAGGTCCTACTTCTTTGGACCACTAGTCTCTAACAGGCAGGTGGTGCAGAAGAGAAGAGCTCTTTCAATCTCCTCCCAAATGTGCACATAGCTGTACTCTTCTGTGCATAGGACTATACCCTGCACCATCCATTTACTTCCAAGGGCAAGAGAAGTACCACAGGTGAAGGATAACTACAGAGTGACCAAGAAGAAAAAAGTGCCATGCCATTCACTCAAGGCCTGGCTCCACTGTGAACTGTTCCTCCTGATCAACCAGCTGTTTAGTATCCCAGGGAATAGCTTAATAATTGTTCTGTAGCAGGTGTTTGGAATGAATAAAAGGATAAAACCCAGAAACCCTGTATTTGGAAGACTTTATAGGATAAAGCAGTTGTATTTCCAGAATGGTTGTGGAAATTCTGCCTCTAGGCAAGATTGGTTACCATACTGCCTGTCTAGCTGCTTTTCCACTCCATCCTTAACATGCAAGTTTTATAAGAGAAATAAATATATGGGCATCAGTTCAAAATGGTGTCAGTTTTAGTAGTCTCTCAGTGTTCTTGTGCCACATGCAAAACATAACTATGAATATTTTAATACATAGAAACATGATATATTTTTGTTGGGTTTTTTATCATTGCTTGAATTTGATCCCAAAACAATATACTTGCCAGCATCTACATCAACACAATTTGAAAAATAAAGAACACCCAGTTCTAACTTACCCCATGATGGCAGGCAGTGATCCATCTGGTTTGGTGTCATCCAGAGTTATGGAAATTGGAGCTTCCTCATCTTCAATGATCATGCAGCCACAGTAATCTTATCCAGGAGAAAATCAATAAGAGATTGAGATCAACCCATATTACAGAATTAGAGGCACATAAACATAGCATATATGTATACACTTTTGCTAAGAGGAAGATAAATCTTAAAATTATTGGGTTTTTTTTTTTTTTGCCCCAACCCTAGAAGTCATTTCCTGTTAAATACACACACTGACTATACAAGAATGTCTCACACAGGGATAATGACACTTCATATAAAGGGCTTATGGGCAATGCATGAGAAAAATGGTAAGATGGCCCTGATGTCTGGAAAAGATGGGGAAAAGAGTTGAGTATATTAAAAGCAATTATCTCTATTAACCCTGGAAGAAGTTGTGAAAAGGCATCCTGTGAGTATGAGCAGAAAGCTAATCAACAGTAGGAACAATATATAGAGAGCTTTCTAAGTCCCTGATTCTGTCTCATTTAATCCTCACACCACCAGGGTAGTATGTATTTTTACAATTTTATGCTTAGAGACTGAGGCTAGTAAGTAACAAAGCCTAGGACTCTCCAACTTCAAAGGATTACTTCTTCCCCAGAGCTCCTGGTCTCACTTTGCCAATAAAGAATAAGTGGAAGGTCAAGTGCCAGGAGCCAGGGCAACCCCCAAGTGGTGTTCTCATGGTGGGCCCTCTTTTCCCCTCCCATTGCCAACAAGTGCTCTTGGGGTCATTTTGTGTTACAGGGCACTATGAAGAAATTGACAGAATTCTGATCCTTTCTCTACCAAATTGAAAACATTTATCTTTTTCTATTCAGTTCCTTCTGTTAAATATTACCAAAAGAATGGTTCCTTCACGTAATACAGTTTAAACATGAATAAGAGCAGCTTACCCTTTTTTTTCCAGAAGGCATCCTTGTAATACATCATGCACTTAATGATAGCCCCCATTGGAAGACGCTGAATTAGCTGGTTTCTCTCTGATGGAAGCTCAGGTTTGAAGTGGATTTTAGCAGTCAGGGTCGGAGGGATGGCACTAATTACGTATCTGCACTAAAATACACATATGCAAAACATCACCTCAAATACAAGCTGTACTCTTTGCAGAGGGTGTGAAACATCTCTAATATTTTGAATGATATTCAGCAGTGACAACATGCAAAATTAGACAATTTGGTGCAACAAAATAGAAGAAGCTGGGTCTACCAACCATGCTGGTAAATTGGGAGAGGAGGCAGAAACACACCAGTATTAACTATACCACAGCTTTGATTATATTTAGTTAGAAACTGCAGAAGACACAAGGCGTATTTACTATAGACTCCTTTTGACTAAAATTACCTCATAGCATTCATGATTCAGTGTCTCTATGGTGATGTTGGCACCAGACTGGTCAATATAGGTGACAGGATGGCTCAATTTCACCCGGTCCCCAAGGAGTTCCATTATCCGCTCACTCACTTGACCAGAACCTCCTACAAATTTCCGTTCCTACAGACAGAGGTAGACAGGAAAGGAGATACTGTAAAAGCCTAATGGAGGGAAATCTTATTTTTCACTGATTAGGAAACCTCCAGAAAGTCACAGCCAGACCTCCACTCTCCAAACACTCTCCAAACACTAACCATTAGGATAGAGGCAAAGGAAAAACATCACCTCAAACACAATCATAGTCTTTGGAGAGGGTGTGATATATTATCTTTAACATTTTGAATGATACTGAGCACTGACAACATACAAAATAAATTGGATTCTCTGTACAGTTATCCTCTGTATAGTTTCTAGCACTAAAAAGCCATTACTAGTTCATAAAATTACAGGTCAGAAAAACTGTTCCGCTATGCCAGTACTGCCCCGATTGAAAGGAAATAGCAAGTCTGTGGGCTTCAGATACCTAAGAGAGTGGAGCATGGAAGGGTCCTTGGGAAGTGGAGGGAGCTGTGCTTGTCCCAGTGGGTGCATTTTCTAAGAACCAGGGGAATATTATTAGCTTATTGCAGAATATTCATTGGATGGCTAAAAACGCATGTCAGTAGGCTGAGGCACAGTCCACAATTGACAATTAAGTACCTCAATCATGAGTATCCACACAGTAATTTTTTTCACTTTTATAACTGGCTATTATTTTATGGCAGCACTAAAGTTATTTGTAAAACTATCCCCATGGTGGTTCAAACCTAAATTCATAATTTGTCCTTCCTCAAGAAACAGGTACCACTTAATCTACAATCTGACCCATGTTTTCCAAGGGTTGCTCTGAATTTTAGTGTAATGTAAAGATCACAAACTATTACAATATTGTCCACTATCTATCACTCTATGTTTAGTATTTGTCTAATTACATTGTAAGGGGGGAACTTAATTTCTTTAGGAAGTTATTGTGATAATGGCTTGAGATTCATAATCTGAACTGTAACTTTCCATAAGGTCCTGTAGGGTTTGTTTAGAAATATCCTGACTCTTCTGAATGAATGAACAAATAACATATATGCATAAAGATACCTCACAAAGCAAAATATGGGTTAAGAAGAGTAATGTGGGAATTCTGCCTTTAATTAAAGACACTTAAAAATGCAACAGTCCTGCATTTGCCAAAACTAAGCATTCAATGAACAATAACTCTCAGTGTCACAAGAATAACTTGGGAACTTCTGTAGATCTAAGAAAAATAGTGCACTTGGGGGGAGAAAGACTTTTACACCTTGTAAAATGCACTCAGAATTCTGGGACTCAAAGAATAGAGTATAAATTAGAAATAAACTGCTACTAATTAAACCTCTTCACTCCCAAGCATAATATTCCTAGAAAAGAGATACTCATTCTCTTTGAATATGGAGCTTTAATGTAAAGAATCTCAGAGTCTGAGGAACCAGGAAACTAGAATTCATGGAAGTGGTATGGAAACTGGGCAAATAAAAATGGACAACAGAAATTTGGAATCCAAACTATAGAATTTACTATGAAAAGAATGGCCATAAATCACTGAGTTAATTAGAACAGTCATTTCCATTATGTAACAGTTAATATAAATAAATAACTATGAAAATGGCGCCAAAGCCTTATGTTTAGAATAGAGATGATTTTCAGTGCAATAATTTTACAAATACTTAAACTTTTTTGAAGCTAATTTTTTTTAGTTTTCTAGTTTCTCCTCCATTAATTTGCTTAATTTTCTCTACCTCCAAAAGGAAAGAATGTAATTCCCAGGACCTAATTAATTCAAAATGAAATATTCTTTACTTGGAATAAAAAAAAGGAAATGAGATTTTTTTAGATCATTTTACATCGCTAATTATTCATGACTGGAAATACTGAACCAATTATTATGACACTGCTCTAGGTGAGTGTAAAATAATAAATACAGTTACAATTTTGGAATAGGCATGCCATACCTGGCCTCCATTGGTGACTGAGAATATCCGAGTTGTTCCACCACATTGTTTCACATACCACAAGAACCACAAGGCAGATACCTCATGGGGCTCAGAGGTCACATTGATATTCACAAAAAGAGAAGCAAACTGCCTTGCAGTCCTGTTTACAGAAAGAGAGGAGAATAGGTATATGATTCACAGGAGCACATGTTTTCAAAATGCAAGTAGAACTAGGCATGGTAGTACACACCTATAATCCTAGTTATTCAAAAAGCTGAGGCAGGTCAATTGAAAGCTCAAGGAAAGCCTTGCCAACTTAGTGAGATCCTATCTCAAAAAAATATTAAAAGGGTTGGGGATGTAGCTCAGTGGTGGAGCACCCCTGGATTCAGCCCCTGGTATCATAAAGAAATGAAATGTAGTATTTTTAGCAAGTACTTCCATTGCTTTTTTGAGAAAAAGAAACCTCATAGGCTCAAGTTCCAAAGGAATGCATTTTTAACTCTTGGAAAAATAAGTTTTCTCCCTCTTTAAGAAATTACGGAGTGCTGGGGTTGTGGCTCAGTGGCAGAGCATTTGCCTCACACATATAAGGCACTGGGTTTGACCCTCAGCACCACATGAAGATAAACAAAATAAAGATTAAAAAAAGAAATTATGGAGCCTGTAATCCCAGGTACTGCAGAGGCTGACAATAAAATCCAAAGTTCAAGACTAGCCTGGACAACTTACCAAGACAGTGTCTCAACAAAATAAAAAATAAAAAAGGATGGGATGTAGCTTAATAGTAAAGCACTTGCCTAATATGCACAAGCCTCTGGGTTCAACCCCCAGTTAGTACTGTGTACTGCCCCCCCCCCCAGAAAAAAAGAAAAGAAGAAGAGGAGGAGGAGGAAGAAATTAATTAACTAATTTTGGGTTAGCTACAAATATGCTAAGCATGGTTATGTCTAAGAATCAATGTTCTTGTTGGGGACCATTAGGGATAGTTTTTCTCATCTATTGTAACAAACATCCTATCTCCTTTGTCTCTGCCCTAGTTCAGGATACTAATGTCTCTCATCTGGCCCACAAAAGTGGGTGCTTCTACATTCCCCATACATTCCCTATGCATTTCCTTTCATATCATTTTCTGTCCTATATGCAATGAGGTCTTTTAAAATTATAAAACTAAAAAACACCCCAAACTTCTGCTTAAAACCCCTCAATAGCCCAAAACAGAGAAAAGTACGATTTCAAATGTAGTCAATACATATTGCACATCAGGCTGCTCAACCAGTACCCAACCTTCCCTTATACCATTTATTTTTATTATCTCTATGATCCAGGCACACTGACCATCCAGTTGCTAAAACCTGCCTATATCTTTCCCATCCCAGGATCCTCACAAAAGTTGTTCCCTGTTCTCCCTACCTAGAAGATATTATCCCCTTACAATATAAAATGTTCTCTGTCTTCCCCTGCCACTGTGGATCCTTCCTAGACGATACCCTCCCTACCGCTTCTACCCTCCCCTGTCTCCTCCCACCTTCTTTAGGTCATTTCTGGAATAAACCATTCTTCTTTCCTGTTTCCCCCAATCACTGTGCATCATTCCTGAAAGATACCACCCTGCCACACTATGCAAGGTTCCAGTTTCCCTCCTGTTATTGGCTCTATCCTTGGAGAAACCATAAACCCCACCTGCCAACTTTCATGCTTCTTGCACCCCTCATTCAGTGGATCAATCTTGGAAAATACCAATCTCCCAAAATCCACCCTAACTTCCCCTGCCTCTTGTGGGTGATTCTGGGAATATCTAATCCCACCTATACCAAAACTCCCTATATATCCTACCCTATTCTGTGGCTCACTCCTGACAGATATCATCCACCCAACTCAATACATCCATCCTGTTTACCCTAGACCCCTTGGGTAATGCCTGGAAGATATCATCCCCTATACCCCTCCATCCTTCTATGCCATAGTCCTTGTGCGTAATTCCAGGAACATACCATGTTCCCAAATAACCCAACTTTCCCTATCTCACCCAACATCTATGTGTCAATCCTGGAATATACCATACCCACCAAATCTATCCTTCCATCTCCCCTTATCAATCCCACTGGTGCATTCCTGAAGGATACCATCCCCTCAGTACCCTCCCATCTCTCTTTAAATCTATGGATCCTTCCTGAAATATACCATCCTGCCATACCATTCCTCTCTCCTCAATGACTGGTTCTTTCCTGGAAATATTCACTTTTTCCCCCATCAACCACCCCCTACCCCGGTCTCCCATAGGACCCTAGCAACTTGCTGGAAAATATCATTCTTCCTGACAATTTCCACCCTTTCTGCCCACCGTTCCACTAAGTGGAACATTCCAGGAAGATACCATTGTCCCAACACCATTCATCCATCCTGTCTCCCCCTGCCTCTGTGGATCATTCCTGAAATATACCATCCTTCCCCAGCAGCTACCTCCCTAACTTTTCCATACCTCTAAGGTTCAATTCTTAGAAAATACCATTTTTTGATTGTTGTTTTATAGTCCTAGGGATTGAACTCAGGGTACCCTACCACTGAGCTAGATCCCCAGCCTTTTTATTTGCAATATCCCACCACATCTATACTTCTCTGTCTTCCCCTCAGCCCCTGTGGTGCACTTGGAGAAGATATTATCCCCAAGACAGATTATCCACCCTTCCATCTACACCCACCCCTTTCATTCCTGGAATATACCATAGTGCCACATCATACACTCTATCTCTCCAGTGATCCTGGTTCTTTCCTAGAAGATAACACATTTTCTCTCACCAAACATCCTTTCTTCTCCCCCATGACCCTGGTTTCTTGCTGGAAGACACCATCTCTCTTCACAACTTCCACCCTTCCTGACAGTCGAAACACTCCTGGGAGACAGCACTGTTCCATTACCATCCACCTATCCTTTGTTCCCCTGCCTCTGTGGGTAATTCCTGGAATGCCCTTCATATCCTTCCCCAGCAGCCACCCTTACTTTTCTATACCCAAAGAGTCAATTCCTGAAGATACCATCCCCCTACTCCATTCAACTTTTTTTCTTTCTTCCTGTCAAAGTGGCTAATTCCTGGGAAATACCACCCCCCTCAACACACAGAGGAACCACTGCCCTCCCTCAGACCATTTGGATCATTCCTGGAATATACCATCACCTCCATAACATCCCTACATCCTGTCTCCCCTTCCTGATACACTGGATCTTTCATAGAATATACTTTCCCCTCCAATATGATCCACTTCACTTGTCTCTTCCTGCCTCTGTGGATCATCCCTGGGAGACACCATTCTGATTATATCTACACTTACCTGATTCCTCAAAGCCCCTGTAAATCATTCCATGAAGATATTACCTCCCGTCCCACAAATTTTTCATGTCATATCCCCAGGCCCCTTTGAACTATTTTGAGAAGATGCCATCCTTCCATACTGGCAGCTCTTTTGTCCCACTATCCCCTCTCGCTTTCTTTTTTTTAAAGTTTATTTTTTAGTTGTAGTTGAACACAATATCCTTATTTTATTTATTTATTTTTATGTGGTGCCAAGGATTGAATCCAAGGCCTCGCATGTGTTAGGCAAGCGCTCTACCGCTGAGCCACAATCTCAGCCCCTATCCCCTCTCTTTCTTACAAGATACCATCTACTCACACCATCTGTACTTCCTATCTCCACCTGTACCTGTGAGTCATTCCTGGAAGATAAATTCCATGCTTCCTTCCTCTACCCAATGGGCCATTCCTGGAAGATATTACAGTTACACCCACTGTTAACCCTCCATCTCCCCCTTGTGCCTGTGGGTCACCCCTGAAAGATACCACCCTGGCATACCATCCACTGTTCTTGGGTATAGCCCCTTACCCTGGCTCACTTTTGGAAGACCATCTCCCAAACATCATCCACCCTTTTTGTCTTCCTCTGCCTCTGTGGGTAATTCCTAGAACATACCATCCTCCTAAATCATCGGACTTTCCCTGTTTTCCCCAGGTCCTCTTATGTCATTACTGGAATATACATCCCCCCACACCACATCTACTCTTCCCTATCTTCCTCATCCCTGCTGTGGAGTACTCCTGAAAGACACTATCCCCCCAACAACTACCCACCATACTAACCTCCCCCCGCCAACTCCTATCTCCACTCCTATCCCTGCTGCTATGGAATATACCATTCTGCCCCAACACCAAAATACCATCTTTAGCAATTGTCCTACTTTGCCCATTTCCCTCTAGCCCTTATGGGTCATTCCTAGATGATAACACCCTCCCTAAAACATCTACCTCTCCTGTCTTCCCCTCCACCTATGGGTCATTCCTGGATGATATCATCTACCACACACCACTACATATATCTTTCTCCATACTCTATGGTGTATTCCTAGAAGACACTACGCTTTCCAGGATCTGCCCTCTAGTGACCCTCTGTGGGTCATTCCTTGAATGTACCTTCCTACCCTAATATCCGTTATTTCTTTCTTCTCAATTGATTTTGGCTCATTCATGGGAAATATATCCTCTATCATCCAACTTTCCCTGAGTCTTCTAGCTCCTATGGGTCATTTATGAAACATATATCTGCCGTTTTTGTCTCTCTCTTACACCCATGGATCAATTCTGGAAAATATCACCTCCCCTACATCATCCAACTTTTCTGTGGGTCATTCCTGGAAGACATCATCTTACCAAACTACCTACTCTTTCTGTTTGCTTCCCAGACTCTTAACTCTTTCCTGGGAAATAACACTTCCCCATCCACCTTCCCTTCCATCTCTCTCATGACCTGGGCTCATTCTTAGAATATATCATCAACCCCTGCAAAACATCCATGCTTCCTACCTACCACCCTCCACATGCATTGGATCATTTCAGGAAAATAGCATTCTACAAACAACATCCATCCTTCTTGTTCTCCCTACCCCTATGGACCATCCCTGGGAGACACCATCCTATCCACATCTGTTCTTCTTTTCTTTCCTATACTGTCCAGTGCCTCATTCTTAAAAGATACCAGCCATTCCACCCCCATCACCATCTACACATCTTGTTTTACTAAGCCCCTTGAGTCACTACTGGAAAATACTATTCACACACTCCACCAGTCTCCCCCTAAGCCCTGACGTGCATTCCTGGGATATAATATCCTCACCATCTAATCTCTCATTTTCCCCTGCCCTCTGGGTTGTTCCTGGGAAGATATCATCCCACTCCTAAAACTTAGACTCTTCCCATTTCCCCCAAGCCTCTTTGTGCATTACTGGAAGATATCAGCCTGCCACAACATCCATCTTTCCTGTCGCATTGAGCCATTCCTGGAAGACAGCATCCCCCTACACCAGCCAACTTTCCCTGACTCTCTGTCACTATAGGTTGTTCCTGGAAGATAGCATTCCCACCATATCTACCCTTCCCAGCCTCTCCCCAGCCCCTAGAACTAATTCCTGGAAGATACTCCCCCTCAACCTTCCCATACCCCTACAGGATCCATAGTCTCTTCTTCCCCCATCTCCTTTGGGTCATTCATGAAAAATGTACCTTCAACATCATATATCCATTCTGTCTCCTCCTGCTCCTGTTGATCATTCCTGGAAGATATCATCCTTACCTGAGGTCCCCAAAGTCCCAGTTAATCAGTCCTTAATGATCCTATCCCCTTCTCCTCACTATCCATTCCCTGTTTCTCTCCTCCCCCAGCCACAATGGTTCACTCCTGGAAAATCCATCACAACTTCCCTGTGTCCTGTCTCCCCACCCTATTCCTCCACCCAGTAAATCATTCTTGGAAAACAATATTGTCCCAATACCATCCACCCTTCCTGCCTCCCCTGTCCCTGGAAGATACTATCACCTACCCTCAACACCCAAGCTTCTTTGTCTTCCCCCCAATCCCTAGGCACAGGCCCAGAGGAAATTATCATTAATGTCACAATCCACTCTCCATCTATCTCCTCTCTGCATCTGTGGGTTGTTCCTGGAAGATACCATCTTGCCACACCATCCATTCTTCCTGAATAGAATCTCTGACCCTGGCTCATTCTTGTAAAATACGAGTGCCCAAACAACACCCATCCTTCCTGTCTCTCAGACGGCACTCAGTGGATAATTCCTGAAAGGAACCCTCCCCCAACATTATCCTCTATCCTGTCTCTTTCTGCCGCTGGAGGTCATTCCTGGAAGACAGCATCCCCCTACACCATCTAACTTTCCCTGTTCCTCCCTAGAAGCTTTGATTCATTCCTACAATATATATCTCTACCTCATCTACCCTTCTCTGTCTCCCCCAATCCCCTATGAGTCATTCCTGGGAGATATCTTCCTGCCACACCATCCACCATTCCTGTGTTCCCTGTCCTTGTGGGTTATTTCTGGAAAATATCATCCAACCCATACCATTTACCTTTTCTGCTTCCCACCCTGGCCCTGTGGGTCATTCCTAAAAGATACTAACACATACATATCATCCACCCTTCTCAGAATCTGTAACTCATTATTGTGTGATATTTTTTCCCCACATCATACACCATATCACACATTGCTCTCTTCTCCCAAGCCTTATGACTCAATTAATTCACATGACAAAAGATACCATTCTCTTACAACATCCGCAATTTCCTGCCTTCTTCCAGCCTCTTTGGGCCATTCTTAGAAGATACTGTACCCCAATACCACCTACCTCTTCTGTCCTGTGGGCTGCTCCTAGAAGAAACCATCCTCCAAACCATGTATCCTTCCTGTCTCTCCCATTTTCCTGCAATTCATTCTTAATTGACGCACTAATTCCCAAGTTTTAGTTTTAAGAATGCTGCACCAAGAAATGCTTTATTTTATCCTCAGACCAGATGAGTTTCTATCTGCTGTAGGCACTCTCTTAGAGTGTATGTTCAGTGTCAGTCTTGCTTGCTAGAATGTAAGCTTCATGACAAGTTCAACACCATTCCTTAGTCAGTGCCTGATACAGTACCCTCATATAGTAGACCCGAAATAACTACATGCTAATAAGTACATAAATATGTATTTTAAAATAAATGTAAAACTAATAGAGTCATGCTCCACATGATGACATTTTGGTCCATAGTGGATCACATATATGATGGTGGTCATGTGAGATTATATGCCTATTGATGTAGTAGCCATCTTAAAGTACACTCTAGGATGTTCATACAACCATGAAATTGCCTAAGAACACATTTCTCAGAAGGTATCCCTGACATTGAGTCATAAATGTACTAGTGAACTATAAGAAATGATTAAAGTTTATATTTTCTTAGCTTCCCTCTAGTTTCTATTTATTCTACATCTATAGAATTACTTTTCAAATATCACCACAAATGCTCTTGTAGACAAACTGTATATAATAGAAAAGCATAATTAACTGATTTTATTGAAGACCATAAGACTCCTTTATTAAAATATGTCCTACTCTAGGTACCTAATTAAGTTTTTTATTCATTCTTTGTTCAAACCTGCTCTGAAGTACCTAAAGTGACCTCAAAGTTAATACCAACTGTTAGATTACTAGATTTCCTCTTAACTTTTTTCCTGCAAGTTACTAAGAAAAGTGCTGAAATTTAAGACAGGATAGAAAAGATCAGAAGGGAAGATAAAAAGGAAATTTTGAATAATCAAGTATACTTTGTCCAGCAGATTTTATCGATAAGATCTTTCATGGTCATCTTGTCCCATTCCTCAGCATGAGGGGCCTGCCAGGGAGCATCAGCTGGAATCTGCAAGGAAAGAAGGTCCCACACTCAGGTGTTATGGTACATGCCACCACAAACCCTCAAAGAGGCCTTTATGAGAACCTCTAAAAATTGATTTATTGGTCTCTGTTGGAATGTGTGATTGGCTTGGAATTCTATGTAGAGGTGGGAAGGCTCTTTACCTTAACGTTGTTGCCAAAATAATAATGATAATGATCATAATTACATATAAGAATATGTATAGGGCTGGGGATGTGGCTCAAGTGGTAACATGATTGCCTGGCATGCGGCGGGGAGTGGGGGCGCTGGGTTCGATCCTCAGCACCACATAAATATAAAATAAAGATGTTATGTCCACCAAAAACTGAAAAATATATATTAAAAAATTCTCTCTCTCTCTCTCTCCTCTCTCTCTCTTTAAAAAAAGAATATGTATAAACTTATATAATTATGATTAGGATGATCATTAAAAAAATAATAACATTATTATTGAAAGCTAATACCCATTTTAGGTCACCAATTCAAATTTATAGAACCTGAAACTAAGTGAAAAAATCTTGGGGCAGCAAGTTCTTCCTTCCTTTACTTTTTAAAGTGGTATTATAGATGGACAAGATCACTTTAAGTAGAGATATTTGGCAAAAATGTCATATAAAAGTTCAATGGCATAAGATCGAAGGTATACTGGCATTAGTATAAGTAGGAATAAGTCTGAATTCTGGTTCCCTTGCTGTGTGGTCTTTAGTCAATTACATAACCTCTTGGTGCTCATTTTATCCAATTGTTGAGTAGAAAACCTACCACCTTTGGTGAGTTGTTGGGTGCACTGGAAAGCATATGCATTAATGTCCAGAGCAATATTCCCTGCCCTATGGAAGGATATTAAACAGGTGACACTACTATTTCATGAATAGCTCATGTGCAAACTGAACACACATTTTACCTCCTTTCCCATATTATCCATTGTCCGCCACAGATTGTTGTAGTCCAGATATGCAAGAGGATTCCACACAGGAGGAAATGCTCCCCGAAATGGATAAGTTTTCCCCTGGAACATAAAAGCAAAAGGTATTAATTGAAAAGAATGATATCTTAAGTTAGAATGGCATTCAAAAAATATAAGAACCAACCAATTTAAGTTAGTTGTGTTCAAAGTAACAGGATTCTTTACTGTGTTAGAAGCATTCCCTTTGGTGAAAAATAAATATATTTTACCTATACCAGCCCAATTTTAATAAAATTAGCAAAATTTTCCCAGTGCTGCATAAGCTGTTTTTAACTTGCAGGAAAACACAGCTTTTGATTTATTCCCACTTATTTGAGTAAATTAATAAATAAATAAATTCATCCTAACCTGAGGAGAGCAAGATGAGGACATATAGGACTATCTTTAGACCACATAAATGACAGTAATAGCAAAGTGGGATATCTCAGACCATGTTTTAAGGTTTACACAGGCTAAATAAAGACTGGCTAGATGATAGACTATGTCTGATGTCAAGAATCAGAATGTTAGCAATGTGGAATAATGGACATTTTCCATTTGGAGCTGCCCAGCATCCATTCTACTTTCATACTAGTACCATGGTTTCATTTTGGGAAATTGCCCCTCCTCCATCCTAGGAAGGATGGTTCTCAGTACTAACTATCATTACAGAAGAGGATGAGTTAGATTCCTTTTCCTCCTCCCCCACACCTCTTGAACCAGCCCACTTGTGAGTCTGTGATATGACCTTGGCCAATCACACACCCTCAGAATACTCTGATTCTGGAGATCATCACCCATGGATAGAAGAAATAGAGATGTAGGCTCTCTTTCTCTGGGCAGCATGCTGTGCAGATGCTTCGTACTACAAAGGTCATAGCTAGGGTTACTGCCCCTAACTTGCCAGAGCTTTCCTGCTCTCTGGCTCATTCTCAAGTGCAGTTCTTCAGCTTCATGTTGATTATGTGTTCCCTCTCATTTCCACTTAGTAAATTTCCTTTGTTACTCCAAGTAGGTTTATATGGCTTGATATCAATATCTCTAACATGAAGACTGCCCATTATTAGCAACAATTTACTTTATTTCATTGTGTGACACACACTGAGCTATGTAAAAGCAAGGGTAAGTGAGGCTGAATCCTTAGGAAAAGAGACCAAGACTAGACAGTTTCTAAGATCTTATTTACAAATTTAATTCCATTTGTAGTCAGCCCTCTGTATTCTTGTATTCTGCAACTGCAGATCCAAACAAACACAGATCAAAAATATTTTTAAAAATTGCATCTGTAACTAAACATGTGCAGACTTTTTTCATTATTCCATAAATGATACATTGTAATTATTTATGTAGCATTTACATTGCAGTAGGCATTATACACAATCCATAGGTGCTTTAAAGTATATGAGAGCAAGTATGTAAGTTGTTTGCAAATGCTATGCCTTTTATTATTATGTCATTTAATATAAGGGACTTGACTATCCTTAGATTTTGGTTTATACAGTAGGTCCTGGAATGGATCTCCTGAAAACACGGAGAGACACTTGTACTTTCAAAATAAATGTCTTCTCACTATTCATAAGATAAAAATCTTTTTTACTAGTAAAATTTTGCAAAAGAATTTGGTTTTAAATATTTGCAGAATGCTTACTGCATGCACTGCACAATATCAAAAGTTGTATTAGATTTTTCACAAAAAATGTGTTAGATTTTTCAAGAAAAACTGACTATTAAGGCAGGGACACAAAATATAACACTGTGCATGCATACACGCACACACCCCAGTTGAGTAAGAAGATATGGCATCCAAAGAAGTAAATTTCCCTTCCACATAGCAAATTCAAATAACCTTGCTAGATTATGCGATCTGATTTCTTATCTGAAAATGCTATGTTGAAATGGAGCAATACAACTTTTCAAGACTGAATCCTTTATCACCATCACCACCATCATTACTAACATTTATTGAGATCTTTCTCCATGCCCAGCACTGGCCAGAGCTCTTCATATGCGTTATCTCATGTTATGTTCCCCACAGCCCTGTGAAGGCAAGCACTATTAATATTGCCATTTTATAAATGAGGGAACTAAAGCCCAGTGACAGTAGCTAGTAAATAGTAGAACGGAAATTTCCTGCTCCCAAAGCCTTTGCTCATAAAATGTGCTTTCCTGCCTCCTACATGGTTGATGAAATGTAGAGATAGGTTTGTTCTAGAGACATTTTAAACTTCCCCACTAAAAGAAAAAGAACTCTGAAATGTGAAACTTATAAATCTTCCACATGCATTTTTTCTGTTTCAAAGTAGTAAAAATAGAGACTAAGAAACCCCAAGGGTGTAAGAAGACTGCCAAGAAAACATGGCCAACTTTGGAAAATGCTAACGCATGTTCTGAGAAAAACGGTAAGAGACATTTTACATAGAACACAAAAATAGCTATGGAAAAGAGAGAGTCTGGGGTTAGATTAATATTTTGGGCAGCCTTTAGAACAGCTGGTTCTTTTTATAATTCTCCGCTAAATTGAAATCACGAAAAAAATCTCCATTTTCCTCTGTAAAATGCACTTATACTCAAGGAACAGTCTCATAAGAATCTTATCTGTATTCTAAAAAAGAATATTTTATTTAGAAAATTTAAATATTCTCAATCATCTGGAGATATTAAGCAAAGCATTACAAATATAATTCAACAAAATGTGTTCCATATTCCCATTAAAGTTCTTCATGGGGTGATACCTAAGCATCCCTTAATCTGAGCCTTAATAAACACACAAACATGGCAGGAGAAGTATTCGAGTGTTCAGGGAAAGAGGAGAATCTGGCCTGGCAAGTCCTTAGGAATGGGAGCCATGGAATGTTCTAAAAGAAGACCATGAGGACCCTCATACTATAACAAACTTTCATCCTGTTAACACTGTCATTGGTTTCTGGCTTCTCTGTTCTTAAGGCACAGAAAACTAAATCTGCCACAAAGAAATGCACATATGTGGGGAACTGGTAACTACAGGGCACTTCCTCCTTTCTCACCAGTGAATGAAAGGGCTTAGTTCCTCCATGGCCTACTTCTAGACTAGACAACTTGAGACTACTTTCATATGTGTGAATCCATAAAGCAATTCAGTAAGAGCCAGGGATGTCTCTTAGCTGAGTGAGAACTGCCTGAGAGTAGGGACCTTCTCGGTCTCCTAAATGTGATCCTATAGTTTATCACCAAGGCATCAGCAGCCTCTCAATCCTAAACCATTTCTCAGCAAGAAATGTCTTTGTGACCTAAGACTGTGAGGCAGGAGCTCTAGAAATAGACTTTCAAATGTCTACCGCTCTTTAAAAATAAAAGGAATTTAAAAATCTAGAGTAATAGTCAGATTTATTTTGTGGATATGTTCTGAAACTTCACTACTTTTCCAAAATGGCCTTTAATCTCAAAAGGACTGACACAGCAGAAATTATTGCTGTGGAGTGGAACAAAATGTCCCTGGCATTGTGCCTCAATACTTAAGTCCCTTTGAGAAATCACATCTTTAATCTACCAATGTTCCTAACAGGAGGCTATTGACAGGAGATAGTTTATGGCTCCCATATTACTCTTTACTGTTGGTCCTATAAGATAAGCCAAGTTTATAGTAAGCAATTAGCATTTACTTATTGGCACGTTGAAAAGTTTCATCTCTCTGTACTTTTATAATTTAGTTAAGCAAATACTGCTATTACAGTATCATAGGTCACTCTGGAAGCTGCCAAATATCTTTCTTTAATCATCTAGAAACTAAACAGTTTCTGGATTGGTTTAGGGACATGCCTGTCCAATTCATATGAATTCCTTGGGACCTGTAGTTTTGTTTTGTGACAAAGCCTGTAAGAGAAATCTTTTGATAGTTTCTTTCTTGTAGTTCATAAAAATTATTTAAATAAAGAAATCTATAAAGAGACTCATTAAATAGGAGGGCAGGATTGTGCTGTATTAATTTTCTTCCCCTTTCCAAATGTAGATAGCTAAGGTAGCCAAGCTTTCTTGAAACATATAATAGCTTCCTTCACTCTACCTAGAAAAAGCCTCTATACTCTACAACTCAATATGTAAACACTGAAAACATCTATCTTTTTCAGTTGCCATTCACCTTTTTTTTTTTTTACTTTTTATTTTTTAGTACTGGGGATCAAACCCAGGGCTTCATGCATACTAAGCATGTGCTCTACCACTGAGCTATACCCCTAACTCTGCATTCTTCTTTCAAAAGTCAAATGCAAATGATGCCTCTGTTTCTTCCATATCCTTTTACTTCCTAAAATCTGACTTGTGTCCTCAAAAATCCACAGGGCCCCTTTTCTCTAAGGTTACCAATGAGCTCCTTATACCCAGATATGAAGGAATATATCTACCGCATTATCACTTGGCTGCATCTGACATTGACCCATCAGATTGTACTGTTTCTCCCTGTTCTTCATCTAGTTCCCCAAGACCCTTCATTTTCTGAGCCACTAAATTCCCTGGGTCCCATCCTCAGCCTTTTCCTTTTCTTTTACCCACCCATTTCCCATTTCCCCAGGGAACTCATATACCATCTGGTTTTATTATTGTATTTGCACAGTGTTATGGTTTGCATTTTTATGGTTTTATTCCTTCTGTGTTTATAAGTACCAAATTGCTATCTACAGTCACTGACACAACTTCAAGGTCTGGCAGCATATTCTTGTGTGTTTGCTCATGATCCTATATTTCATTATATTCTCAGCCTTTTTCTCAAGGCTTGCACAGTGGCCAGCACATCCAGTGGGTCCCTGAGTTTCACAGCCCCATCTCTGGAAAAAGAAAAGCATTACACTCAGGTATAAAAGATGCCCTTGCATCAAGATAGATTTTAAATGAATAATTATGCCATTGTTCTTAAGAAATTCTAGTTATATACAAAAATCTAAAACAAAGCAATTAAGATAGAAGCAACACAATTTCCTCTGGAGGCTCTTGGGTAATTAAAGATCATTAGCAAAGAAGTTTTTACATATATTTCTCTTCTTTCACAAATTACATTAACTCAGGAAAGACAGGCAGTTAGGAAAAGGATGAAA